CTGGGCCTGGAGGGGCCAGGCTATTTGTTCCATACACTAAGCCAGATGGGGTGTGGCTGCCCTGCGTGCCAGCTGAGAGACCACCGAGGGAAAGGAGGGGCAGTCAGGTGAGCAGCGGAGCCCGTGCAAAGAGGGACTCTCAGGCCGATAGCCTCTGGACCAATGCAGCATCTGCTGATGTGACCATCTTTGTAAAAGAGTCCAGATCTCGAGAATTCCAAGGGGCCTTCTCCTCCTGGGCTACCAGGGAGGGCTTCTTTTAAACTCAAACAGACCAAAGAGGGGTGGGAAGAGGCCGAAGGGTGCTAGATCTTGCCTTTTATACAGAAAAGAGGCAATGGACTTGGCGTGACTGTCCTGCTTTGCCCAGGACTGCAGGTTTCTGGAGACATGGCGCTCTCGGTTCAGTTCAGTCAGTCACTCAGTTGTGTCTGACTCTTTGCGACCCCATGAACCGCAGCATACCAGGCCTCCCTGTCCATCATCAACTCCCGGAGTCCACCCAAACCCATGTCCACTGAGTCGGTGATGCCATCCAACCAGCTCATCCTTTCTTGTCCCCTTCTCCTCCTGCCCTCAATCTTTCCCAGCATCAGAGGCTTTTCAAATGAGCCAGCTCTTTGCATCAAGTGGCCAAAGTACTGGAGTTTCAGTTTCAACATCAGTCCTTCCAGTGTACACCCAGGACTGATCTCCTTTAGGATGGACTGGTTGGATCTCCTTGCAGTCCAAGGGACTCTCAAGATTCTTCTCCAACACCACAGTTCAAAAGCATCAATTCTTCAGCACTCAGCTTTCTTTATAGTCTAACTCTCACATCCATACATGACCACTGGAAAAACCATAGCCTTGACTAGACGGACATTTACTGACAAAGTAATGTCTCTGCTTTTTAATATGCTGTCTATGTTGGTCATAACTTTCCTTCCAAGGAGTAAGCGTCTTTTAATTTCATGGCTGCAATCACCATCTGCAGTGATTTTGAAGCCCAGAAAAATAAAGTCTGACACTATTTCCACTGTTTCCCCATCTATTTGCCATAAAGTGATGGGACCAGATGCCGTGATCTTAGTTTTCTGAATGTTGAGCTTTAAGCCAACTTTTTCACTCTCCTCTTTCACTTTCATCAAGAGGCTTTTTAGTTCCTCTTCACTTCCTGCCATAAGGGTGGTGTCATCTGCATATCTGAGGTTATTGCTGGCGCTCAGTCCTAGGTAATCTGGGAAGATGGGGTCCCCTAACTGAGGGGCTGTGGGAAAGACTCTGCCCTCTGTGTTCCTTGCCCATGGCACTGGAAAGAGGATGGCTTGGACCCAAGCTTCCTGGTCACGGTTCTGCTGGCCGAGAACTTTCTTTGCTACTGGGCCGCATGGAGGAGGAAACGCTGAAGAGCAAGGCATCCTGCGGGCAGCCCAGGAGATGCCAAGGGAAAGTAGGCAGAAGGAAAGTGTCCACGGTCTTCAGGGCAGGGAGGAAATTCCCTCACTGTCTTTAGGGAGCTGGCACCATGGAACCCCACCCAGAGCCTGGGGTGTTGGGGAGTAAGCTGGGGAGTCCCTGAGAAAACCTTCACCAGGGCACATGGGACAGGGGGAAAGAAGGCTTTAAAGTCTTCTGCCTGGGGACTCAGCCTCCCAGGGACCCAGAGGGCAGTCGGAGCACAGCCCTGGCGTGAGCCTAAGAAGCCAGAGCAAGCGCGTTCTTTTAGATCTGTCCCAGGCAAAGGGCCCTTCTCCATAGGGGTCCCAAGTGGACACTGTGGATAGAAGTCTTCAGAGGCAACAGAGGTTTGTGTCACAGCCAGCCTGACAAGGCAGATCCCATGGAGACCCCCTTGTCCAGACCCCTTATTTGACAGATGGGGACCAAACCCCAGGGAGGCTGAGTCACGAGCTCAGGACAGCACATTCTCTAGTGGTTAGAGATGCAGACGGGACTGTCTACCATCAGATGCCAGAGCTTCCTCAGAATAGAGAACGCTCAGAAGATAAGCCTAGTGCTGTGGAAGCCCCAGCCTACCTATCACATTAGTGGAAGACGGCCCCTTCTCTGAGTCACAACTCCTCTCTCCAATCTGTTTGAGTCCCCAGCGTGGTCCACCCAGTACCAACCCCAGGAGAAAACCCCAGCAGATTTCCCTACACTGCTCAGCCCTGGGGCTTCCAGGGCACTGGAAACCTACAGAGAGTGCCTGCAGGTTCCACGGCTCCCTGTCCTGGCCTTGGAATGTGTAAGAAACCCAACCTTACCTCTCAGTAGGATGCGGCTCCCCACCTACTGTGAGGCGCCTTCCTAGGGGTGGAGGTATCTAAGACACAGCTTAAAGGGCCATCAACCACACTGGGCTCCAGTGAGTTTGGAAGGAAGCAGGGCCCCGGGGTGACGCAAACCCAAAGGCACATTCTGGTGTGTCTAAGGAGGGAGGTAGAGAGGGATCCAGACCCAGGATGCCGAGGGAGGGGAAAGAGTGGGAGCAGGTGTAGGTGGGTTCTCTTTTGAGCAGCCAGGAGGGATCTAAGTGTATGGTCAGGAGAAGGCAAAGAAGGGAGACAAGAAGAAACAAGGAAGAGACTCGGGAAAAGCATCTCCCAACAGCTGATACACCAGCTTTTAGCATTTATAACATTTCCAGTTTTGTCCTATTGTGGGTGAACCCAACAATTCCAAAAATACAATGCAGGAAACAGCCTGAGAAATGTTCCCAAGGAATGACAGGGCTGCCTCCTTGTTCATGGCCAGTCTTCCTAGGAGAGGACTCCACGGAAGGTCTAACAAGAAAAGAACCTGCACCCCGCAGTACCCTCCAGACCCCAAAGCACAGAGAAGGAGTAGATGAGAGCAGAGCTCTGCCCTGGGCCTGGCAGCTAGGAGCCCCCTTCCTGGGAAGCCTCAGGAGGCTGCAAGCTCTCCCCAGACGGGTGGGAAGCTGAATTCCTGTGGAGAGAGACAGGTTTCCTGCACACAGAACTGCCCTGACTTAGTCAACAACAGGTTCTTGGAGCTTCCTTAGCAATTACTGCCTCACCACTCAGCTTCATGGCTGGCCACTAATAATTTATTGCAAATGTCTCATTTCTCCAATAAGGCAGCCACTTCTCTACCTCTGAATTCCCTGCAGAGAGTATCACAGCTGGGCACCCCAGCTGGTCCTCATTAAAACCCTTCCAGCCCTGAATCTTCCCACCCTCCCTCGCTCCCATCTCCAGCCCTGCTCCCTAGCAGCCGGCCCAGGACATTCACTTCTCACTTTTAAGGGCTGGATTGGCAGGTGCTGTGCCGGAAGGGCAGATGAGAGCCTCTGAGTCTGTAGATCTGACTGGTAGCCTGGTGAAATCTACCAGGGCCATCTATAGGCAAAGAGGGAATTGCTATTAGCAAATTCTCTAGCAAGCATTCTCTTTATTGTCCTCCTGTGGGAGATACGCATTTGTAACATTTTGAGTCAGATCATGCAGAACTGCCTATAAGAACATGGATCAGGAAGGGACTCTAGCAGGAGCCATTCAACTTCCCTGGTTTTCATTTCCTCACGTATAAAAAGTAGGGATAGCTATGCATTACTGTGGACAGGTGACTAAACCAGCCCTCCATTCTACACTTCTGGGCAATATTGGACCATCTTGTTCATCTGTGTGAAAAACAGTAAGGTGGATTTGGCATAAAAAGTCTCATGGTTCCCATCCTGGCTTTGGCACTTATTAGCTGGCTGGTGCTCGGAAGTCACTTAATTTTTCTGAACTAATATTTTCACCTGTGAAATGGGCACAATAATAGCTTCACCACATAGATGGTGTGAGATTTAAACGAGATACCACGCATAAGCAGGATTGCTACTCTGTAAAGTGGTATCCAAATCTTACTGATTATTAACAGATCATAATGAGTATGGTAAATAAAAACTTTCTAAATAAGCAAGTTCATGTAGGGGACAACAGAAACACAAAAAAGACCACTGCTGATGGATTTGCTGGTCACTCTTCTCTGCCCAGGGAGATAGGCTGCCCTGGAATTGCCTCTTGAAGTGGAGACTTGGAGCAGAGGAGCAAAGGCTGATCTCAGGATGGAGGCTGGAAGTTAAGGCTCTCAGAACACAGGGTGAAGCTACCTCCCACCTGTTGGGGCCCCTCCCGCATTGCTTCTGCAATTTGGCAGCAGGCTCCCAGCAAGCACTTCCCCAGGTGATAATACCACAGTAAATTGTGGCCCTTAGTTTTTAAGCACTTCCTGCAAAGGAAGCAGACCCTCCAGAAATGAATCTTCATTTGTACTACCCCTCAAAAAATGCTGATAAACTCATGAAAAAGTTGTTATTGCTAAATGCTAATTGCATTTCATTGGGTAAGCACCATAAAAAATTCATTGCAGTTTTTAGAAACAAGATGCCAACTGCATTTTAATTGCTAGAGAGGAGAGAGTCAGGGAGAAGCTTAACCAGGAAAATGCTAGCTGGGCAGAAACTCAGAAAGACATCTCCCTAAGCCAGAAAACCCAGTCCTGAAACAAGAGCTGAAGAGAGAGAGGTCTTGTGAGCTGCCAGACCCTCCCTGAGGAAGCACTGACTGGGTGGCTCTCAGATATGCAGCATTAGAGCACCTGGATATCTGGAGCTATCTGTTTGTTGCCAATCATGACATGTAGATTTAACAAACGTAGTCTCTCAGTCATGTTCAACTCTTTGCAACCCCATGGACTGTAGCCCTCCAGGCTCCTCTGTTCATGGAATTTTCCAGGCAAGAATACTGGAGTGGGTTGCCATTCTCTTCTCCAGGGGATCTTCCCAACCCAAAGACGGAACCTGGGTCTCCTGCATTGGAACCAAATTCTTTACCTTCGCAGCTACTAGAGAAGTCCTAACAAATGTAAAGAAGTACATAGATAAGCACTAGAGAGACAAGCAGGAGTCAGCTCCAGAGCTTTAAGAAACATGCATGGGAGGGAATTATTCTACTACCACCTTCACGTGGGCATGTGAGAGAGAGAAGGCGGGAATGGGAGGAGGAGACCGAGACCGTACTTCACTTTAATACCGGAAGTCCTGGAGCAGTTCACAGAACTGTCATTTTAAAACCTCCCCGCTATTCCATTGCCGACCAGAGTATTCTTACAGTGGTCTCCTGCCCCACTGCAGCAGAGCCAGCCAGAGCCAGGGGAGAGCAGGAAGTAGGTGAGATCCACAGGAGAGTGGGGAGGATCCTGACTCCGTGGGCTTAACCTGGGCTGACCCAGTCCTGACCCAATCTGCCCAGGAGCATCCCAGTCTGGGTCTTGGGGAGGCATTTCCCCGACCTGAGAGTGCGGAGAAGGCAGGCCCAGGGCAGGCCTGGGCATCCTCCCAAAGATGGGCAAAGGGCCACAGAGGGGAGGAGACAGAAGGGCAGGCTCCTCGCTGCCGCTGACAGCCTCTTCCTCTCCAGCTGCGCCCCCTGCCCCAGCCCGCTGCTCCCCCAGCTTCCCAGCCCAGTCCCAGCTTCCCTCCTGTCATTGAGGCTCTCCGCTGAGATAGACTGGAAATCAGGGCCCAAGGAGAGAGGCACAGTGGCCTGGAGGCTGGCCAGTGGGTGGTGACGGTCTCCTGTGCACTGAAAAGAGATCCATGCCTTCTGCGTCCAGGGCTGCTTCTCCTCCATCTAGTGAACCTGCCAGAGGGCCCAGGAAACATGAGGCTGGTGTGTAGTGAGATAGAGAAAACAAATCAATAGGACTGGGGAAGGGAGTCCTGGGCTGAAAGAGAAAGGAGCTGATCCGGAGCAGGGCTCCTCCTTCCATGAGCCAAGCAGCTAGCATTTTCATAGATCACTTATTTTATATATAGCAGTGTGTATATGTCCAAAAGAATCTTAAAAAGAGTGGATATATGTATCTGTATAACAGATTCACTTTGTTGTACACTCGAAACCAACACACTACTGTAAATAACTATACTCCAAAAACAATTTTTTTAAACATCACTTAACCACTCAGCTCCTTCATTTCCACTTCTATCAAATGGGACTGGCATATCTGTTTCTCTAGGGTTTTTGTAAGGTTTGAATGAGAAGATGGATACATAGGTGTCCTGTAAACTCTATAAAGTGTATTATCCACCACCTGCCCTGAGCCCAGCTTTGCAGAAAGACGCTTCCCACTATCATGCGGGAAATCTATTTGTAAAGGACTTTATACAAATCACAGGCTTTTGTTTTCTCACTTGCATTTCCCACTGTAAGGATGAAGTGGAGAGGTAGGCTCAGGACCACACAGAATGAATTAGTTGCTGAAACCAGACTGCTAGATGCTGAGCTCTCCCTCACACACGGAGGGCAGGCAGGACCAGGGAAGAGAAACGGTCATAAATAAATGCTTCATAACACTTGGGTCACTCACTTCAAGCCTAGAGCTGAGCAGGCCTTATTTCATGTAATCTTCATCATGTAATCTTATATCACAGCATATAAGATAGACTGGATGGTTATAACCAGGACACTGAAGTTTACCAAGCTTAGGAATCTGGGCTACAAACTCCGATCGATTGATTCTTCCCGAGTGAACGCTTAAACTGATAGAATGGATTCAGCCGTCATAAGCACCACTTCCTCTCCGAAGTCTAAAACCTTCCCCCTCCCCCAGCAAAGCTCAGGTCTAAGGGCGAGGGTCGCGGTTTCCGAGGGTTGGGTCTTTCACAAACCGGTCTTCTCCCCTTGCCCCTACTCACCTGCGCCGCGCTGTCCTGAATCCAGTCCAGGAACTCGGCAACCTTGGCGTAGACTCCGGGGTGGCTGGGTTCTGCGCAGCCGTGTCCCCAGCTGACCACCCCCACCAGGCGCCACGTGCCCTCGTCCAGACACACCAGGGGACCCCCGCTGTCCCCCTGAGGGATCCAGCCGCCAGACACAGAGAAGCGGACAATTAAGTCCCTCCTAGTGGAGGGGAGCCAGCGTGCTCCCCGCCCCCACCATAGGCTGGGCGCACACCCTGCACTCCAAGCCGTCCTGCTTCCAGGATGAATCCCGTCTCGCCTCGCCCCTCCTCGCCCCTCACTGCGCTGCCCACTTGCCTGGGCTCCTCCTCTGCTACCAGAGAAGACATGGGCCAGGCGCGCAGCCCGCAGCCCCTGCCCCGCACCAGGCCCTCGGCCGCACCTGGCACGCATCCGCCCTCCCGTCGAGGTAGCCGGCACACAGCATGCGGGGCGTCAGGGCCCCGCTGTGCACGCAAGGGCTGTTGCAGAGCTGGGCGCTGAGCAGGGGCACCACGGCGTCCTGGAGCACGTCGGAGCTGTGGGCTGCGGGGACGTAGATGGGAGACGGGAGGGTCACAGATGGAGGCGGGCAAGGCGGAGGCGCTAGAGGGCGCCAGGGACCCCAGGGACATGGGAGCCCAGGACTCTGGCCAGGAGGGTCCGTCTGACTTGGAGGGGAGGGGTGTGCATCACACATACACCCTGATGCTGAGGCCCTGACACTCCTGGGAGGCGGGGAGGGAGAAGACAGGGCCTGGGTTTCGGGCAAAATACCAGTTTGTTCTCCCAGAAGGACCCTGGGGCCCCCCGGTCTGACCAAGGGTGATGCCAGAGGAGAAGGGGACTCGTGTTGCCCTGTGGCCAGCGAGGAGGAGGCCGAGGTGCCTCACTTCTAGGGACAGATGCCTCCCCTCCCACCCCCCATCCTGTGCACCCAGGGCCCTGGGAGCTGACTTACTGTGGCTGGGGTCAGTGTGGCCCCAGCCAGACACCCAGCACTCCGAGCCCCTCGGAAAATCCCGCTCTTCCGCCGGCAAGCATACGGCGCCCACGGTGTCTGCGGAGAGGCAGTGGTCCTGGGCCCCACTCAGGCTCCGCCTCTCTGCCCCGGAGCCTGGGCGCAAGGACCAGGGCCGGCCAGTCCTCCTCGCCCCTTCTTCAAACAGCCCTAGTTCCAGCTTCCTGCGTGGCTGTGCGGGCCAGGCTCGGTACCACCTGGGGGTCATCATTCACGCAGAGGACCATGTAGAAAGGGCAATGTACACGGCGCCCTAGGCTGGGCAGGGTACACGTGATACCCCCAACCTGGGACCGATGAGGAGTGGGAACTTCTGCTGGGCGCTTGTACCTAACCTCTCCTAATAAGGACCCAGTTTAGATTTTCCCCAGGGTGTCTGGATCCTCTTGGACATGGTTCCAAAACTATGGGACCTGTCCTATGGGTCAGGCCGAACCTGATTTTACAGAGTGTATAGACCTGCCCTTAGGTAAACACCACTTCACTGGGAGAAAGTATTTCCTCTTCGATTCTCTTTCAGCCCCTCTGCATTAAGGAGACAGGGGCTGTCTGGGCCGTTCTCTGCCTCTCTCAACTCCGGTCCACCCCTTCTAAGCAGAGAGAGTGGCCCGACTCAGCAGTTCTGCAGAGCTGAGTGCCAAGCTGGGACTTGAGCACTGTTTTGCTTCCAGTCTGTACATTTTTGTGATTGTTATATTCACTCTAAGTCATAAGGTCTCCAGTTTGGTAGAAACCTCAAGTTTCCCTTTAAGTATATTTAAGTCAATTTAGAAGCATAAGCTGTTGAACAACAGTGCAGAGAGCAGTCGTACGTGGTAGACTCTGTAAACAGCATAGAGCAACATCTGTGGCTGGGATACCCCAACAGGAAACAATGGAAGGGAGGAGTGCTGAGTGTGAATGTGTGTGTGTGTGCACGCGTGCACGTGGTGTGAGAGTATGCATGCACAGGAGTAGGTGTGTGTGTGCACTTATGTGAGCCTTGCACAGTGTGTGAGGGCATGCACAGGCACATGCCTGGCACACGCATGTGAAAGAGGGAGCTGCCTGACCTTCGAGGGCAGACTCTGTGGAGGAGACGCCCTGCCCGGGAACTGTTTGCCTCCTCAACTGGAACAGTGTCACTTCCCTCGTCGTTACACACCTGCCTCAGCTCCCTGTCAGGCTTGTGATGAGGGTGGGGAGGTGAAAGGGTTGTTACAAGGATGGGGGTGGTGGTAAAAGGATGTTTGCTAAAGTAAGTCTTATTACCATAACATGGTGCTGCTTATTAACTGTTATCCTCTTAACTACACATGCTGTGTGCTGTCGCTTCAGTCGTCTCTTGACTCTACAACCCCATGGACTGTAGCCCACCAGGCTCCTCTGTCCCTGGGATTCTCCAGGCAAGAATACTGGAGTGGGTTGCCATTCCCTCCTCCAGAGGATCTTCCTGACCCAGGGATCAAGCCTGTATCTCTTACATCTCCTGCCTTGGCAGGCGGGTTCTTTACTACTAGGGCCACATAAGAAGCCCAGTAACTATATAGTTAACTATTATCCATCCTAACCTGGCTGGGACCTGGCACCAGCCTGGGAACTGCGTGGAGCAGCCTGCTGGAGATGGAGCCACTGGGAAGCTTTTCTGGGGACCTCGAGGCAAATCCCACCTGCCACCCAGCTATGAAAAGGGCCAGACCCTTTGTCCCCAAAAGAGCATGTGGAAGAGTTGGTGCAACCCAAGGTCCCCGTGATGCCAGAGTCCATGACGGCCCCCAAATGAAGTCACCGTTGCAGGGTTCACAGCATGGAGGGGTCTTAGGAACCCTCGTGGCTCCCACCCTCCGGGCACCGCCCCTCGCCGCAACCTCACCTGAGAAGTGCAGTGGGGTGCGGAGCCACAGGAGGGCCACATCATAGTCATGGTTCTGAGTTCTGTACAGAGGGTGGGTGATGATCCGCTCCACTGCAGCCCCTTGGTGTGGCCTGACCGTGCTGTGGCTGACCAGCCCCGCATGGACCCGCCACCTGGACAGACGGGACAGCCTGAAACTGCACACGGAGGCCGTGCTGAGCCCGGGGGAAGGAGGGCAGGAGACGCTGACATAGATGAGGTGGCAGGTGGAAGAAGCCACCAGCGAGGCTGTGAGTGGGGCCCCAGCCCCGGGCTGCAAGTTCCCAGGACCCAGGCCTTTTCGAATCTGCCCCAGCATTTGGTAAGACAAGGGGCAATCAGTAGGTGCTTAATAAATGCTCAGACCCTGATGGATTGAGAAGTGAGACGCTGTGGTCATCGGCCACCACGGCCTCCCTCCAGCATCACCCCCTCCAGGTTTTGCAGCACATAAGGAAGAGCCTCGTGTGGTATGAGAACTCTAAGCTGAGTCAGCAAGGCTGCCCTCAGCGCTGTCCCCCGCTTCCTAGGTGTGGTCTCCCCACTTCCTAGGTGTGATCACGGGGGAGCCACTTCCCCTCTCCTGGCCTTGGCTTCCTCGCTGTAACATGAGGGTTATACTGCCTGCCGCCCAAGAAGAGGGCTGGAGAACCCTTCCTTCCTTCCTACCAGTGTTAAGTACCTACTGTATTTCAGGACTGTTGTAGGCCATGGGAACAAGGCAAGGGAAATCCACAAAGGGATTCAGTGGTAAAGAAGACTCTTGCCTGCCACCATGGAGGCAGGAAGGAGGACTGGAAGCTCCAGTCTGAAGGGGAGGAAAGCCATAAAGAATGACATGGAAACTGATTTAATTATGGTGCTGATAAACATTAAGAAGTACAGAAGACTGTGAGCAGGAAAGCACTTTAAAACCTTAACAACCATATGAAGCCGAAGAAACCATGTTTGTATTATTACTGCCATTCCAGCAGGATTGTGCTTGGCACCGAACAGGGGGAATTTCACAAACACCCCGGGGCCCACTCGCAGCAGACGTGGCAGGAAGACAGCTGGACATCTTACACAGAACATACCGACGGCCGACAGAAAAGTCCCCGGAGGCACCCTCCTCCCGTTTTGGAGCCCCCCGACTTGCCTGTGTGTGCAGTGCGCGGCGGTCACCACCCAGCGCAGGCCCAGCATGGAGGCCCCGCACATGTGCCGGGAGCCCAGGGCCATGCCGGCCTGCCAGGGCCATCGCCCGGGAGCCGCTGCCTGCCAGCCCACGATCCGGGAAGCCAGGGGCCTGGCCCCACACTCTGCAAACAGACAAGCGCCCGTGAGATGGACACAGAGGCGGCTGTCTGCCGGGGAGTGTGGACGGCTACCGTTTATCATTCCTGATCCTAAGCATGGAGCGGAAAGGCCCTCTCGCTAAGGGAGGGACTGTGACTGTGTCATCCATGGAGCCTCAGGACCTAAGAAAGCGCCTGGGCCATAGGAGAGATCAAATGGGAGGCTGTCGTGCGGGAGGACAAATAAAGACGACACATGAAGATGGCCAGGTGACCGGGAAACGGGAGAAAGGAACTCCATGCACTGTCTCCCACTTGGCCCTCCTTAGACTCTGGAAGCTGCTGCTCCCCCTTTGGTACGCTCCAGAAGAAGGGGAGGGGGTGTCAGAGGCCAGGGCGGGGGTTGAGGCAAGGAGGTTGCCTGCCCGGATCAGTGGCTGGTGGGGGCAGAACAGAGGCATCCATGGGGCTCTGTTCTGGCAAGACTGTCTGCAGGAAGGGCCCCGTGGGTGGCTGGGCAGGACATCCCCCCAGACCCAGGCGAGCCTCGAACTGGGGCTCTCCCACCCTAGGGGCATGGGGGAGACCCCCTTCTGCCAGCGCCTCCTTCCCAGACCCGGGAGGGGACTCACCGGAGCACTTGAGGGAGACGATTTGACCAGAAGCACAGCGGTCCCTGCGAAACAGAGGCAGCCCCAGCAAGGAGCTGGCCGGGGGCCCAGCCCCGGCCCAACACCCCCTGGGGCCTGCAGGAAGGGGCGTTGTTGGGGAACAGCAGACAGGGCCGCTCTATGGCCACGGCTGTCTGCTTCCCTCCCCCACCCAAGCCTTCAGACCCCTCCGCGTGGCAGGTCTCCTGGGCAGTAAGCAGGCTCCGCCTGGCCACTCAGGGCGTCGATGTGGGCAGAGCCCAGAATTACAAACGGAGCCTTGATGGATGTAAAAATGCAGTTGTTCCCGCTAAAGCCCCAAGTATGTTCAGAGTGGGTAGGCGAGTGAGTGAACGGACACGGTCCTTCACCTGCTGTTCCTGCCCAAGCCAACCCCACTTCATCCAAGCCCTCTGCCCAGCGCAGTATACTCACAGCCCGCCCTCCTCTCCCCTCCTCTTTCTTGGCATAAACCTCCACTCCTTTTGGACCAAAGCCCTCTTCTCTTTGCGCATCTCTTGGCCCCAGCATCCAACGCCTGGATCCTCACAGCCCTCCGGCTCTCCTGGCCGAAGTCTGTCCACTGCTGTTTCCCTTTGCCTGTTCCAACATCTAAGGCAGGAGCACTGCATTCCCCTGATGGAGCATCAGGGGGCAGGAGCTGGGTCAGAGGGGCCAAGGTTCAGACAGGAACAGTGTCTGCAGTGGTGAGAAGGCTTCAGAGCAGGGTTGAGAGGACTGCTGGGGAGCTTGAGGACGCCTACCCCCAGGATCAGGGGAAGGTCCGTCCCAGAGCCCTCTCTTCTCTGGAGAGTCTCTGGGCTCCAAGCAGTCTATGGTCTCTCTCCTGAGATACCAGAGTCATCCAAATGAAGTGCATCAGGGGTAAGGGGGACTAGTTTTGAGGCAAGAGCCTGGTTTCAAGACATGGTTTGGCCGATTATCAGTTCTGTGACCTTACACAAGACCCTTTACCTCACTGAGTCTCAGTTTCCCCATCTGTGAAATGGGAATAAGAGTACCATTTCAAATCCTCTGACAATAACACCCAATCCTGCCATTTTTGTGAGGGGCAAACAAATAATGTACATGGGTAGAACTCGTATGAAGTGAAAAATTCCTCTCTGTCGTCCTATCTTACGCCTCTGGTGTCCTCACCACTAGGCTCCCATGATTGGAAGATTTTTGTTGGGTTACTCACGGAAGTGAGGGGCACCACTCAGTCCCACCCCCAAGCTCACCCCTTCCGGAGAAGCCCTACCTAGGCTGCCACACCTCCTCCGGGAAGCCTTCCAGTCCAGGAGAGAGCTGAGCAAACTCCCTGGAACTGTTGAGCCTGATGTCAGACAGGTTCACTGCCTTTTGGTGAGTGAGTCTTGATAGGAAAGGGGAAATTGGAGGAAATTGGCTTTAAATGGCAATATGAGAGATGGGGCGTTAGTATAACAAAATGTATAGAAGATGCTGCACCAGGGTAGTGACTGAGCAAGACTTTGACAATGAATGACTTCTGCTGGGATTTATATTTTGTTGAAAAGCAAGGATGCCCAAAGGAGAGAAATAGGCTGGGGCACCATCCTGCCCAGAGGCCAGGAGACGACCAAAATGACCTCTTGCCATTTCCTGAGTACCCTGATGGTAGCAGGCAGGGTCTCCAAAGCCCCTCCCTGACCCACCCACCCTCCACCCTGCCCAGGCCCCAGGTCTGGCCCCAGTTACCTGAGATGTCCGAGGCTCCTGCAGACCCGCGCCCCCAGGGCAGAGCTCCAGCCCTCGTAGCAGACCAGCAGCCAGTCTGGCCGGGCCCTCAGCTGTACTTCCAGCAAGAAGTCCTCAGAAGTGTTTATTCTGAAAGAAACTGAGATCATGGCATGAAAGCCACTTCCCGTCTGCAGCAGGATGGAGGGGCTGGAGCCCTCACCGTGGGGCCTGAAGAGGCCTTCATGATCGCCCGGGTCACCCAATGTCGGGCTCCCTGTTCCCCTGGGAGCCAGCGGTGCTGAGAACAAAAGAACCCCTCTCTCTGCTGCCTTTCAGGTTTGTGTTTAACCAGGCGCTTTCAAACGAGTTCCATCACCAAGGGTCACAGCCGCCCGATGGCATGAGAATGCCCATCCTCCCCATTCTGCAGCAGGAAGTAAGGCATGAAGATCAAGCGACCTGCCCTGGGTCACAGGATCTGCAAGTGATGGAGCTAGGTAATCCGATTTAAAATCTTGTGATGGTACTGGTGATGGTGCCCACTTTTTGAGCATCTGCTTTTTCAGGGCTCTGTGGTAAGCTCCCTTACTTTATGCTCTTATTATGCTTACAGCTTCACGCAGTAAATATTTTTATCTCCACTTTATGGAGAAGGACATAGAAACTCAAAGAAGTAATGTATTCAGAGGCACACACAGCTAGCAAAGGCAGGCAAGCTGATCCTAACTAATTTCTGTAACTGATTCTAACCCCAGCCTTGGCAGCACCGTATCTTCTGACCCTTCGCCCTTACCTGGAGGGGAGGGGACAAGATTGGAGGGGGGAATGGGGAGATAGTGTGGTGTGATGTTTCCAGCCCTCTACCCCACCTTTGCCACTGGGCCAAGACCCCTGTCCACCATGCACTGGCCCCACACACACACCTGGCTCCTCTTCCCCCATACAGCAGGCTCCCTCTGTCCAAATGGCAAGTCACCACCTCTCCTGGCAGCCTGGTCTTTTAGTGGTGCCCCCATTAGGGATCAAAACAGTCCCAAGGAGTGCTGAAAGCCCTGAGTCAGAGATCAGCTCCTGGAGGCTGGACCAGGACCTCACCCTCACAGCACAGGAGATGTAGGTGGATGACTGCAAATTCAAAGGATCCCAGCGCTGTGCAGGGGCCCTGGGCCTGGTGGGGTGGGGAGGGGAGTCTCCCCACCTTGGGGGTGTGGCTCACCTGTTCTGGGAATCGAGGGGAGCATGGCTTCCTCACTGCTGGCCTCAGAGCAGTTCAAAGTCATCTCATCCTGCAGGGTTCCAGGAGTGGGCTGAGAGGCAGCTGGCCACAGATACAGCACTTCAGAGGACAAGGAATAGGAGAGGGTCACAGAGAAGAGGCTGGGAAAGGAAGGGGTCCCCAGGAGGGGGCCCAGGCGCAGAACAAGACTCCTGCTGCAGAGGGAGGCAAGGCAGCCCCCAGGGACTCCTCATCACCACCCTGCTTTCGGCAGGTCCCTCCCAACACGCAAAGAGGCATCATGCTCTCTGTCTGATCTATCTGTCTGTCTCTCTCGCTAGCGCGCACTGGGAAAGATCTCCAGGGAAAGCTTGACTAGGGCCTCCCTGAATCACCCACTCAAGCACATTTCTCACTATAGGACAAAAACGTTCCTGTGCATAGAGCCTGAGCCCCTCCAGCTGGACCTGCATCCTGTCTCCACTTGCTGTCAGAGTAGATGGAAGAGGCAGTCATCCCACCTGACCAAGACACCTGCTCACTACCTGCTCCTCTCTCCTAGCACCCCCAGAGTTCGTTCTTTGTCCCTCCCCAGCCACTGAAAGTCCCAGAACTGACCTAGAAGCCAGGAGCTGACGCCTGCACCAGCCAGCAGCCCCAGGGCTCCCAGCACTGCCCAGGCGCGCCACCCGACACACCAGTGCCCTGCCCCAGAGTCTGTGGAGGGCAGAGGAATGTCTGAGGGCCCTGCCCCTGCCCACCAGCCCACTGCACCCCGAGGCACCACAGTGGGGCCAGACAGCCAGCAAGCAGCAGCAGGAGTTTGCCCCACTACACCTGCCTACCTCCCCCTGCCCCATTATCATGGGATGGGTGGGGGCGGGGGTGCAGAGCTCTGATCACTGAAGCCTCAGAGCCCACTCAAGCCCCCAGATGGCAAACAGAGCAAAAGCAGGTCTAGGACAGATAGTGAGAAAGCCTCTGGCCATCAGTCATTTAAGGTTGACCTAGGAAGACCTGGAAATGGCAACCCACTCCAGTACTCTTGCCTGGAAAATCCCATGGACAGAGGAGACAGGCTAGGCTACAGTCCGTGTGGTCACAAAGAGTCGGACACGACTGAGCAACTTTACTTTACTTTACTTTAGGAAGATCTGGGGAGAAAGAAGCTGGGGGATGTGGGAAGATCGTCCCTTCACTGCCCCCACCCTGTCATTCCCCGGTGGCCCAGTCTGGCCTACTGGGTTGCTGCTGGGTCTCAGGCCTCCGTAGCGGGTCTCCTGGCTCTGCGGATCCTGGACCATCCTCTGCATCCTGAGCCTCTGTCGGGGCTTGGCCATCCAGCATTGGGCTCTGCGGAGACAGCTGTCAGTCACTGAGCAAGAAGAAAATCTCCACCCACCGCAAGTCCCCGCCCTCTAACTCCAGCCACATCCTCGCTGCCACTTGCAAGTCTTTTGCCACCATGGGGTCTCTGCCTGTGTCCCCATAGAGGCCCCTCGGGCCTCCCAGCTCTCCTGGAACCCCTATCCCTACCCACCTTACTCTCACCCACCCAGTAAGTGTCACAGCAGACACTCGAGCCTAAACTAGGCTGGCTCCGAAGCCCACACTTTTCACCAACCCCTCGCCAGCAGGGCATCCACTGAATCCCTCAACATCCCTCATCAGATCCTAAGATCCCACCTTCATCATTCCCTCCTATCTCAGAGGAAGAAGAGCCCCTCCCCCAGTGAACCATGCAGTCACTCACCCAGTAAATAGTATTTAGCCCAAGTGGACAGGCCACGATTGGGGATGCTATAAGGAGTTCAAGATAAATGAATGTGGACCTCCACCACCACCACCCCAAAAAATCTGTATGTGAGTCCTTGAAGGTAAGTTGTGTTCAGTGACAAAAGGGAAGTTCAGTTCAGCTACCACTGGGATTCAAAAGGATAACTTTCTTCTTATTGGGAAGATCAAGAAAGCCTTCTTGGAAGAGGTAGCCTTTAAGACAGGCCCTCATAGATGAATAGGGTTTGAAATGACATATATGGGCATTGGGTGTTCCAGGAAAAAGGTACTGAGGAGGCAAAGGAATGGGAGTAAGAAAGCTTAGAGGAGGGTAGGTCAGACATTTGTTTGAAGTTCATGAGCCGTGAAGAAGAGTAATGGAGAGTAAGATCTTGGCAAAAACCACCGGACAAGTGGTTCAAAGCCAGGTCTACAGCATACTGTGTGAACGTCGTAACTTATCAGCCCTCCAAATTTTAATTTTCTCCTTTATGAAATAACGGTGATAAGTCCTGCTTCCCGTTGAGTAGCCTCCCCTCTCTAGCCTTGTCTCTATTCCTTCTCCAAGCCAGAGTGATCTTTCTAAAATGCAAACATGAGCAAGTTAACCCCATCTTCATAGCACCCAGTAGGTCTTTGTAGCCTTCAGGAGAAGCACCCTGCCATGACTCACAGCATCTTCTGTGATCTCACCCCTCCTCAGCTCTCCATCCTCACATCCCAGCACTAACTCCTCCACAGCAGGACTTGGGGTCATGTTAACACACATGCCCATCCTCACACCTTCACAGACTCTCACTCCATGAAGGCATGGGGCCTGCTCTCCCCTTCCGCACACACTGACCCCTAGGGCCCTTGAAGACTCAGCTTAAGTGCCATCTTTCCAGGAAGCTTTCTTCAACCCACAGAGCACCTATTGTGACCCTATATTATGCTTCTTTACTTGTCTTTCTCTCTCCCCTTTCTCTCTGGTCTAGGATCCCAAGGTCTGGCTCAAGTCCTAGCACAAAGTGGGAATTCGGTTAATGCACACTGAATAGAAGGAAGGAAAGAAAGAAGAAAGGAAGACAGAGAAAGATAGAGGAAGGAAAGGAGGAAGGAAGAAACTAAACAGATGATGTGGCTAAAAGGGTTTTATAAAGTAAAACACAAATATTAAGTATAATAATAAATTAATAGTATGTTCGTTGCTCAATGATGTCTGACTCTTGTGACACCATGGGCTATAGCCTGTCAAGCTCCTCTGTCCATGGAATTCTATAGGCAAGAATACTGGAGTGGATTGCCATTTCCTTCTCCAGGGGATCTTCCTGACCCAGGGATCGAATCCAGGTATCCTGCATTGCAGGCAGACGCTTTACCATCAGAGTCACCAGGGAAGCCCAATATATTAATTAGAAATATGTAAAAGCTATGGATCCTTTCTTCAATGAAATTATACTCCAGTCAAGTTGAAAGAGTCCCTAAAGTTGAAGTGACGCCCATCTCCCTGCAGACCACCTTTCCGTGTCAACAGCCTTGGTCTGGAGAGAATTCCAGGGCACGCTCAGCCTTTTTTCCTGTCTCAGATCAAGGGAGCCTGGCTTGACATTTGGCCTCTGAACAAATTGGCCTCACCTGGGACACTGCCCCAACTCAACACTCACCTGTCCAGGTTCCTATGGTAGCCTCCAAAAATGGTCTTTAATGACACAGGTCCTCCTTTTGAGTAATAATGATTTACTAAGAGTCACCTATGGGCAAAGCACCTGGCTTAGCCATATGGGGGATGAGAGAGGGAAATAGATGTCAGCCCCCAGGGAAAATGAAACCAGATGCCTGGCCACACGGGGCCCCCTCTAGGATCCAGCCTGTGCACCAGAGCTGCCAGGGGCAAAAGGAAAAGAGGGTGGCAGAGGATGAGATGGTTGGATGGCATCACTGATTCAGTGGACATGAAATTGGGCAGACTCTGGGAGATGGTGAGGGGCAGGGAGGCCTGGCATGCTGCAGTCCATGGGGTCGCAAGAAATCAGACTTGACTTAGCCACTGAACAACAACAAAGAAGCCCAAGGGTGGGGTCAAGGGTGGGGTTGAAAGAGAGGCCAGAACAGAGTTTGGCCTTACTATGTGGGTCAGTGGCACCGATGAAAGCCTGGAGTTCTGCTAGGCAATGTTCTGGCTCTGTTCTTGGATCAGCATTGATTAAATAGCCTGGCCAGTTTGGTTGGAGGCTGAGGTCTCCATGAGCTTCACACATGGCTCCTCCCTTCATCGCCCTACACACACACACACACACACACACACACACACACACACACACCCCAGAGAGACAATGAACTCTGCTCAAAAACCATGAATAGACCCCTTGTTGCAGGAAAGGGGGCCAAGGGCTAGGCTGGCTGGGCAGCCCCAGCCCTCCCATCTGCTAACTGGAAGCTTAGAAACAGAGAAAAAGAAAAAGGTTACAAGGAGGAGGGGAAGCCAGCTCCTGCTGCTTAGCAACCAGGTCCCTTGTGCCAAAAAGTGTGCCCCATGCATGCTGGCATCATACACCCCCCACCCCTTCCCGCTGACAGGGCTGTATTCAGGAGACTGACATTAGCTTTTGTTGAAATGCTTCTGAGCCCTGCGGATGAGATCTCACCTCTGCGTGGGTTGGCTTTCCCAGAAGTCTGGGGCTGTCTCTGTGCTGCAGTTGGGATGATGACGAGGGATCTCTGTCATCTCTCTTCTCTAGGCTGCGCTTGTCACCCCAATGCCAGGGAAATGGGCCCTGTCCACCTCACTGCCCTGGGAACCAGCTACTAGAGGAGACTTTAATGCCATGTTGCTTCAAAGCACGAGGATGGGCTAAACACACCTGGCAGCCACATCTCTTTAGCCAAGGAGGCAGAAGAGGTCCCAGGGAAGGGAAGTGCTGGTGTGGCTCCTCCTCCTCCAATGCCTCTCAGAGATTCCTCAGGTGGGACAGTTAAGAAGATGGGCTTTACAGTCAGCCTTCATCCAACCCCAGTTCTGCCACTTCCCTTACCCAGCCTCTCCTGTAAAGTTATGATCATAGTACCAGCCTCACAGAGCTGATGCTGTAATTAAGTGACTTACTGGGTATCAAACTCTTAGCTATTGAAGATGAAACTTTTAGCAGACTTCCCTGGTGGTACAGTGGATAGGAATACAGCCTGCCAATGCAGTAGACATGGGTTCAATCCCTGGACATTGAAGATCCCACGTGCCGCGGAATAACTAAGCCCATGTGCCGCAACTTTTGAACCCACATGCGCAACTACGGAAGCCCTTGCAGCCTGAGCCTGCACTCCCCAACAAGAGAAGCCACCCCACAGTGAGAAGCCTACTCAGCACAATCACTGCAACTAGAGAAAGCCCAGGAGTAGCAACGAAGACCAGTACAACCAAAATACATAAATACTTGATCTTTTAAATATATTTTTAAAAATCTTGTAGCTTTATATCTAGTATCTAACATAGACTCTGTGTAAACACTAGCTACTGTTACAGTATCATCATTCTCATCATCGCACAGGAATCTCTGCACACAATACAATGAAGAGACAGAGGTCAGCTATGAGTCAGTCACAGAAGCAGGAGGAGAAAATGATGGCTGGAGCTGAGACGCCCTTGGCCAGGCACTGAGGTCTCCCAACAATACTCTTCAGCCTTAAATACCTACTGTGTGTCAGGAACTGACCTGGGCCTCGGGAATGATAAGTCACAGTTAGGAGCTTGCAGACTGGGAGGAGAGATGGGAACAGATATAAAGAACTGTTTTTGTGCAGAGTGAAATAACAGAAGCAGGGACACAGAGGTACAGGAGAATGAAGGGAGAGCTTATTCCTTGCCCAGAGGACCCAGAGATGGCTTCACAATGGAGGAGAAATTTGAGCTGAATTTCTGAGAAATGAGAAGGGAATCACATAGAAGAGCATTTCAAGTATAGTCCAAGGGATATCAGTGAAATGGCAGGGTAAAGGCTCTCAAAAATGGTCTCCTCCATAACAATGAGAAAACTGGCCAAGAATTTGTCAGAATCAACTTTTTTAGAATTCTGGAAAATAATCAAAGGCGAAAGCTATGACCAACCTAGACAGCATATTAAAAAGCAGAGACATTACTTTGCCAACAAAAGTCATATTAGGCAAGAAAAAAATAATAAAAGGCATCCAAACTGAAAAGGAAGAAGTAAAACTCTCCTTATTTGCAGATCATCCTAAAGACTCCATCAAAAAGCTATTAGAACAAAAAATAATGGCATGGGTGTGCAGTTAGGGCAAATTCTGGACAAAAGATAGAAAGAAACCAAAAACATAACTGCCACTTCTGAAGAGCTGCCTCCTGCACACACCATGCCCCTAAGGGTTAAGCCAAACACCTAAGCCACCCCTCCAGCCCGACCCCTGGACACAACCCTACCCTCACCCCATATGAGAAACACCGCGCCTAGGGAGCAAGCAAGCTTGGGAACTTGTTGTTTGTTCCTGCTCCCCACTGCTGCAACAAGAGCCCCAGTAAAGACTTGCCTGGAAACAAATGAATGTAGTAAAGTTTCAGTATACAAAATCAATAAACAAAAAACTATTGTGTTTCTATATACTAATAATTAACTATCAGAAAGATAAATTAGGAAAAGGACCCCATTTACAGTTGCCTCAAAAAGAATAAAATGCCTGGGAATAAATTTAACCAAGGAGGTAAAATATCTGTACAGTGGAAAGTCATAAGACATTGATTTAAAAAAAAAAATTGTAAAAGACACAAAATTTGTGCTCATGGATTGGAAGAATTAATATTGTTAAAATGTCCATACTACCCAAATCAATCCAGAGTCAACATGTCAGGAGACCTGGGCCTGGATGGCCTCCAATGTGCTATGACTTACTCGCCTTTCAGAGCATCAGTTTTCTCCTTTAATAAGAGAGATGGTAGATTCAATGGTCTCTTAAAAAACTTTATACGTATGACCAATGTCAAGGAGCTCATTCCCTGCGTTTTCTTCTCATACATATAAAGTTTTTTAAAAGAGGCATCTGGCCCAGGGTCTTCCCCATTCCCAAACATGCCCCAGAAGCCCCATATTCATTGAATGGGCAGGCTCCAAGAGAAGAAATCCCACCTGTGACCACAGCTCCGGCCAGTGCCTGTGGAGTTCCAGCTTGATCATTATCTCCCCTTTGCGTCTGCCAGTGAATGACAGCTTCAGCCTTTGTGGATTTAAGTCTGCCCATGATCTTCTCTGACTGCCTCCCCTGTGGGTTTCAGGCTTGCTTAGACAGCCTCCGTAATTGCTCTCACTTTATCCCCTGGAGAGGGAAAGGTTGGTGCTCCAGGAGGAAAGCATGTCTGGTGTAATGCCGGCTTGAGATTCTGGAACACTCTGTATATCCCCCTTAGTCCCATCCATCCCCCTTCTTTAGCTTCATCTATCAGCATTGAGTCCCTCAACCTCAGAGAGTCTCCATCTGTAGTATGGTCCACCTACACCACAATATTCCTGCATCCCCTCAAATAGCCCCACCTCCTTCAAGTTCAGTTTGGATCATCCCACCGAGGTTAGTTCAAGCCACAGACCCTCCGCTGCCCTCCCACAGTCTAATGAGGCCCAAGCACATCCCCTTCCATCCAACCCTCTGGAGAGTGTTTATCTCAATGAAGAAATTAAATGAATGACTCCTAAGTCTAATAAGAAGGAGGCTTTAGTGAGTGAAAATTGGGAAAACGCTAGATCCAGTTAACTTATTGCAGACCATTACTGCATATCA